TACTGTGTACATGACTCGTTATTACCAACGTTGCAATGCACACACACACATATATATTTATCTGTGGTTGATTTTATTTGGTACATATATGTTGAGAGCAAATACATTTGTAAACAAAAAATAATACATCCTAATATTGCCTGAAAAGAACAATTATATAATAGGCGACGTTTCGGGTCGTGGCTCTTCTTCATAGCACCGTTGGGCTACCGATATCACTTACATTTCACGGATATTTAAGACCGGAGTGTTCTTCACGAATGTTGTTGGGTGTTCGTTGTGTCTGCGTGCAACACCGCCAACCCAGAGCTACCGCCAAATAAGTTGTTGAAACGTTGACCGTGAAGCCGACCGTGAGTGTCTGAGTTGTAAACGAAGGCTAGACACATAATCCTTCGTCTAGATATCGTCTTTGTATAACCCTCGCGACATAACGAGTACTCCACGGCACTGTTAGCGAACACACATTAATGCCTGCGCGTGGCACGAGAGAGGGGTGTGATAAACACCACGCCCGGCCGCCTTTGTCTCCCTAGTGGCGACATTCACATCTCACCAGGTACTCATTTGAGGCTGAAACGACTTAGGGGAGGCCCGGGACCGGTTCAGAAAATTGTCACTGGGTGTTGGTCGTGAGCGCGAATCGAACCCGGGTGGCCAGGTCCATAGCGCAGCGCACTGACCGCTGTACTACCGCACACATCACATCCGATTAGCACGGCTGGCCACGTTCGGTGCGAAATAAATTTCAAGTACATAGATAAACACACATACATACACACAAACACACACGTGTGCCAAAAACACAATAACAAGCACACACACATATATATATAAACAAAGATCACCGTATAGCCATAACAGACTGTTGGGGCAAGTGCTGTTAGCGAGCACCTATGAAGGCCGGCACGGCGCACAAAGGGGTGGGTGGCGATCACCATCACGCCGGCCGCCTTTGTCTCCCTCGTGGCGATTGTTTACACATCACACCAAGGTGCTCAATTTGAGGCTGAGGTTCATAGAGCAGCTAGCTCAGCGCTCCACTACCGCTCCCCTATATACACGCGAAGCACATACACAAGCAGTCGATACACACGGACATTATAGTGACATGCACATGGGGCTTACGAACACATTCCCACAATAGTTATGGAAACGTGCACGCACATACGTAAATTAGCACGTACAAAGACAAATACATCCCGTATAGCCTCCGTAAACTGTTGGGGCCAAGTGCTGTTAGCGAACCCCTGTGAAGGCTCATATATATAGATGCACACGCACAGACAAAGATGTCCCGTATATCCTCGATACAATGTCCAGGTCAAGTGATGTTAGTGAGCACCTATGAAGGCCAACGCAGGTACGCAAGGGCGTGAGTGGTGTTTCGAGAACCACGTCCGGCCGTCTTTGTGTCACCAGTGCTGATGTTTATACACTCGCACTAAAGTTGTACCCATTTAAGGCTGAGTCGACCGAGACGAGGTCCAGTACCGGTTAGAATATTCGCCGCTATACATGTAGAGAAAGGACAAAGACACGCACATTGTTACACATCCGCTAACATCAAATGTTGTATTACCATTAAAAAAATTACATTACACGATTATTATATCGGAAATGTTACTAACGAATCTATCGTGGATAAAATAAAATGTTTATTTCGTCCAAAGTGTATCTGTACAAATGTCTATTGACATTCCTAATGTACACAAAGATCCCCCGTGTAGCCTTAACAGACTGTTGGGGCAAGTGCTGTTACCTATGAAGGCCGGAATGGCACACGAGGGGGTGGGTGGCCAATACCACGCCCGGCCGCCTTTGTCTCCCCTGTGGCGATGTCTACACACCGCACTAGGTACTCATTTGAGGCTGAGTCGACCTGGTTCGGATAATCGTCCCCGTTGTTGGCCGTGAGTGGGAATCGAACTCGGATTGACGTAATACAAGTGCACGCCTATCAAAGCAATGGACATAGATCGAGACTTGCAACGTACTCGTCTCAATTAATTAACACAGAATGAAACAAAGTCGATGTATTTTATTTATAATTACATTTATGTTTATGTACACACACGTGTAAATTGCAGTGTACATAACACACAAAACACCATTCACAAACGCATTTAAATTCTCATTTCATTGCATATTGCTCAAACAAATATGACATTTCCCGTCTGGTTTTTTAGACTGTTGGGGACAATTGTTTTCGGCTGTGAACGATACCGCTCCCGGCCGCCTTTGTCTCCCCGGGGCTAATGTTCACTGGGCTTGCACAAGGACACCTATTTAATGCCGAGTAGAGCTATGGGAGACGCAAGCGCAGATGTGGGTATCAATGGGTAGTGGTGAAATCATGGACCATCATGTGGTCGTGTAAACAAAGATCCCCCGTGTAGCCTGAACAGACTGTTGGGGCAAGTGCTGTTTGCGAGCACCTATGAAGGTCGGCACAACACACGAAGGGGTGGGTGGGCAAGCACCACGCCCGGCCGCCTTTGTCTCCCTAGTGGCGATATTTATACAGGCACTAATTTGAGGCTGAGTCGACCTAGGGGAGGCCCATGACCGGTTCAGATAATCGTAACTGGTGTTTGCCGTGAGCGGGGATCGAACTCGGGTCGCCGGGTTCGTAGCGCAGCGCGATAACCACTACACTACCGCTCCCCGCACGAGTACATACACACGTACATACATACATACACGTTCGCACACGCATAACTTATGATACATTACATTCATATACGAAGACAACGATCCCCGTGTAGCCTTAACAGACTGTTGGGGCAAGTGCTGTGAACGAGCACCTAGGAAGGGCGGCACGGCACACCAGGGGGTGGGTGGCCAGCAGCACGCCCGGCCGCCTTTGTCTCTCTAGCGGCGATGTTTACACACCGCACCAGGTACCCATTCAAGGCTGAGTCGACCTAGACACAGACGCACACACTCGCACGCCATCGCACACGCGTACGAGATACGTAATACAAGTATCACATGCAAATATTACAATCATTCACGGAGACACACACGCACGGCGAGGCATAGCTTCACACGGATGCGCCAATTGGTGTTGATGCTGCTGCGTTGGGCCGTAGTGCACAAGCACCGTTAACAAACTTTAAAACTGCGTGGACTTCAACGGGAAAAAAATATATACATGGGCAATCGTGCTTGTTTATAACAACATTAAATGAGAGGCCGGAACGATAGAGAGCCCGGTGAGAATTATTGTTGAATTTGTTTAAGTTGCTCATTGCAAAAACACGTTTTAAAACATGTAATTATCGCAGTATCTCTATTGATGTGCTATGATGAAGGGACACTGCCGGAAAACGTCGCCTATTAGATATTGTTTTTCTTGAAGACCACACGACAGTGTTCTTGAGAAGTGTATTGCGTTTATTACACAGCGCTTGTACACCCCTTGGAATGTAATTACACGCACGCAAACATGTACAATCCGTGCATAATGCGCGCATGTTACATGCAGACATTACGTGTATACATAGACGAACATACATGTGTCTACGTGCACGCACACACTCATGTTGCCGATCACACAACAAAGATCCCCCATGTAGCCTTCAAAAAAAGTACTGTTAGCGAGCACCCAGAGGACAACGCCTCGGCCGGCAGCCTTTGTCTTCGCTGATGTTGGATGCAGCGTGCCAGGCACTCATTTAAGGCTGGGTCGACTTAGGCGAGACCCGGGGACCGGTTCAAGGATTTGCTGTCACCGTTTGTTGGTCGCGAGCGGGAGTTGAACTCGGCGCTTCTGAACGCACCAAGACAAAGACAAAGATCCCCCGTGTAGCCTCAGAAGACTGTTGGGGCAAGCGCGGAGGTTGTGGGTGGCCATCGTAACAACACCGCGACAAAGTCGACCTGTTCAGATAATCGTCACTGGTGGTGGCCGCGAACGGGAATCGAACTCAGGTCACCGGGTTCGTAGCGCAGCGCGCTCGCCACTGAACTCGCGCTCCTCGACACGCGCGCAGAGACGCACGGGTCGACGGCGAGGTATCGTACGTAGATTGCAGATCTTCCCTCTGCCACCACCAGCAACCCGAGACAAAGATCCCCCGTATAGCCTCAGCAGATTATCGGGGCAAGTGCTGTTAGCGTGCATCTGTGAAGGCAGGCGCGGCACACGATGCGGTGTTTACACGTCGCACCAGGTATTCATTTGAGGCTGAGTCGACCTAGGGGAGGCCCAGTACCGGTTCAGATAATCGTCACTGACGTTGGCCGTAGGCGGGAATCGAACTCGGGTCGCCAGGTTCGCAGCGCAGTGCGCTAACTACTGCAATCCCGATCCCCACCAGCACTAGCAAAACAAAAGATCCCCCGTATAGCCTGAACAGACTGTTGGGGCAAGTGCCGTTAGCGAGCACCTATAAAGACCGGCACGGCACACGAGGGGGTGGGTGGCCAACAACACGCCCGGCCGCCTTTGTCTCCCTGGTGGCGATGTTTACACATCGCACCATGTACTCATTTGAGGCTGAGTCGACCTAGGGGAGGCCCAGTAACGGTTCAGATAATCGTCACTGGGTGTTGGTAGCCGTGAGCGAGAATCGAACCCGGGTCGCCAGGTTCGTAGCGCAGTGCGCTAACCGCAACACCACCGCTCCCCACACACATATACACACACATACACACACACATCTATTCATTGCCTTCGGAAATGATCTCGCTCTAACGGACCAAGTCACAGAGCAACTCATGCCCCTCCCTCTCCACCCCCCCCCTCCTCTCCCACCACCCCCTCCCTCCTCTCCTCCCCTCTCCTTCCACATCGTCTCGCTCTAACTCACAGTGCCCTTCATGCCCCCCCCTTCCCTCCCCCCCTCCCTCCCCCCCCTCCCTCCCCCCCCTCCCCCCTCCCTCCTCCTCTCTCCTCCCCTATCTCTTTTCTCCTCCTCTCTGCCCAGCTCCGCCTCTCGTAGGCCCCCCACCACCCTCTTCGCTGCATCTCCCCACTCGCGACATCCCGCTGCTCGGGTCAGTGTGGAACCCCCCGTTATTTAGGAGGCGAGGGTTTCCTCGGCACTCGACTGGCGCGCGCACACACACACACACTTACTCGCGAACACATGCACGCACACGCACATTATAACCCCGTACAGTCCTTCACCAACAGACTGTTGGGATGCAAGCACTGTTAGCGAGCATCTGTTAAGAGCCGGCACTGCGCAACGCGGAGGTGGTTGTGGTTAGCAGCACACACGCGCATCTTACACATAGACCCCCGTACGCCCATAGGCGTACACAGCATCCAGCGCGCATCTTACACACACACAGGCACGCGTGCTATTGCAAGCGCTGCATGTAGCAGTGGTGGTAGTTTCTGGTGGTAGCAGTGGCGCATTGGAACATGCCGACCATGGAAGGCACAGAGTTTGGATTTTCTCTCAGGGGCGTCGCGCCCCAGCCACGCGCGAATGCTGCTTCCCCGAGGGTCTTTACGCGAAACTCACCGTTCCTGTGGCCGGGAGAACGTACGTTGAGGACATGCTGCCCGGCTACCCGGCTCTACAGCAGCCAAGCTACGCACCAATCCCTGAGCCCAACTGCAGCAACAGCGGCGGCGGAGCGGGTGGAGGTAGCGGAGGTGCAGACGACAATTGCAAGCAACAACAGCACCAGCAGCAACAACAACAGCAGCAGCAGCAGCAAGGCAGCTGTGCTTACGGTTCTGGACTGCATTGTGACAGGAGCCGGGAACAGAAGCCTGGGTTGTCCGTGTTGGACGGTGAGTGGGTGGGTGAGTGAGTGAGCGAGTAGGTGAGCGAGTGGATGGGTAAGTAGGTGGGTGAGTGAGCGGATAAATAAGTAAGTGGGTGGGTGAGTGAGTGGATGAAATGCATAGATGATTGCTTGTGTGAGTAAACAAGTAAGATATGTGGGTAGGAGAGTGAATGGGTGAGTGAGTGAGTGAGCGAGTGGATGATTGAACGGGTGAATATAACAAGTGGGTGAGTCGGGTGAGTGAGTGGGTGATTGAACGGGTGCGTAAAAAAGTGAGTGCGTAGAGTAGGATAGTGAGTGGATAAGTGGATGAATGGGCGAGCGAGTGGGTGCTTGAATTGCCGAGTAGTAAAGTAAGTGGGTGAGTGGGTGAGTGGGTGAACACATGAGTGAGTGTTGCTGTATGTCGATGAGCGACAGAGAGGGTGAGTGAGGGGGATGCGTGGGTGAGTGAGTGGGTGAGTGGATACGTGAGTGGGTGAGTGAGTGGGTGAGTGGATACGTTGGGTGGGTGGGTGAGTGAGCAGATGAATAAGCGGGCTGGCGAGTGAATGATTGAATGAGTGCGGACAAAAGGTGAGTGAATGAGTGGTGGGGTCGGGAGTGTGTGAATTGGTAAACGTGTGGGTGACTGAATAGTCGAGGAGACGTGTAAATCGGTGAGTGGGTGACCGAGTGAGTGTTTCAGTATGTAGATGAGACCATGGGTGGGTGACTGTAAGTATTGATGGCGCTGTATTGCATATCTTTGGCAAATGAGTAATCGTTTTATCGGGTCCGAATGGATGATAGGCTAAGAATTAAACAATTTCTGTGTTTTAACATAGCTTAGAAATTATATTTCAGAATGCCTGCTGGTGCTTGTTATTAACCCCGATTAAAACCAACAATATTCCTCGCCCAATCTACCATCACCGACCAGCAAATACGACTCACCGTTCCAAGTATATATCAGACTTAATACCTCTACACATCTGTGGTTCCTGAAGAAGGCCAGTCGGCCGAAACGTTGATGTCTTCCTTTATTCCTTGTGACAGTCAAGCGAACCTACGTAATAATTTGACTCCTTAACCATAATGTTTAAACAATAGTGCATAACTTAAATTGTATTAGTTAACAAAACGCTATCTGTGGCTGCGTGGCCGAACCGTCTAGTTTATATATTCCCCATTTAGTGAGATAATTACGTTACTTTACTGTGTTATGTATATATATATATGTGTGCGTGAGTCCAGCGTGTGCGTGTATATAGATGTTGAACTTTTTTTGCACCGTACACAGCCAACTGTGCTAATCGGACGTGTGTTTACGTTTCGAGGGTATGTGCTGCATTATTAAAATTAATTAGATCATTAATAAACCCCGATTAAAACCAACAATATTCCTCGCCCAATCTACCATCACCGACCAGCAAATACGACTCACCGTTCCAAGTATATATCAGACTTAATACCTCTATACATCTGTGGTTCCTGAAGAAGGCCAGTCGGCCGAAACGTTGATGTCTTCCTTTATTCCTTGTGACAGTCAAGCGAACCTACGTAATAATTTGACTCCTTAACCATAATGTTTAAACAATAGTGCATAACTTAAATTGTATTAGTTAACAAAACGCTATCTGTGGCTGCGTGGCCGAACCGTCTAGTTTATATATTCCCCATTTAGTGAGATAATTACGTTACTTTACTGTGTTATGTATATATATATGTGTGCGTGAGTCCAGCGTGTGCGTGTATATAGATGTTGAACTTTTTTTGCACCGTACACAGCCAACTGTGCTAATCGGACGTGTGTTTACGTTTCGAGGGTATGTGCTGCATTATTAAAATTAATTAGATCATTAATAAACCCTTTCCGACACGCTTTTTGAGTAGCTATCACGCTGGCTGTAATTATATCTACACGATGGAAATTTTCATGAAAAATTTCATGAAAATTTCGTGAAAATTTGCCTGAAATGGTGATGCTGTTTGTACGCGAATATCCATTACGTGTTTCTAAAATTGCCCTCTGTGTTGTAGATATACAGTCTATATATACTGCACTGATGCGTGCACGTTAACAGGTCTCCGTTATCCAATAGCAGAATTTACTCCAGGTATTCGAAGCGTGTATTTGTGTTGTGTTTTTACTCGAAAAAGTTACGTCACTTAGTTAAAATGTGTGTTTCTGTAGCGGTCCACTTGCGGCGTCATGTGCTGTGATTTACACTTTGTTTTATGATGTGCCATGAAGAAGGGTCATTTCCCGAAACGTCACCAATTATATATTTGTTTTTTGCTTGTTGTATTTTGTGCTTGTGCACCATTGTCAATGCAGTATCATAAAATTAGTTGTTATATATGTAACATTAAATATCAAATAATTTATAAATATAAGTTCTGCTTCATGCACACGAAACACGCGTGTGTTGAGTTTTAATTGTATTTAATTTAATTTAATCTGTGACGTGTATGTCATTCGTAATCTATTTGAGACAAATTTCTTTAAACGCATATTTAAATCAGACACACACACAGACGCATAATTCATCGACATCAGAATTCTTACAATCACTATCAATGTATTTATTTAACTGGAAACCCTTCATTGGCTTACGGGTTTCCCCGGATAATAAGACGCGCTCTGGGAAATAAGACGCACCTCAATAAATAAAGTTATACAATCTGGTCACGGACACTCACAATCACACACGCCTACCGGATTATAAGACGCACGTGAGCTTTTGCTTTTAAACACAAAGCGCGTCTTATAATCCGGATGATATTATATAAAACGGATTTGACATCTATAGAGGTAACATTTTGCAATCATACGAGACAAATGTAAAACTGCCGCTAATAAGTTGATATATTAACGTTGAGATATACAGGCGGCTTAACGAAATGTTTTTGTTTACGTCAACCCTTTTCTAAATATATACAAACACAAAGATCCCCCGTATAGCCTTTAACAGACTGTTGGGGCAAGTGCTGGTAGCGAGCACCTATTGAAGGCCGACACGGCACACGAGGGGTTGGGTGGCCAGCACCACGCCCGTCCGCCTTTGTCTCCCTAGTGGCGATGTTGTTACACATCGCACCAGGTACTCGTTTGAGGCTGAGCCGACCTAGAGGACGAGGTCCAGGACCGGTTCAGATCATCGTCACTGGTGTTGACCGTGAGCGGGAATTGAATTCGGGTCGCCGGGTTCGTAGCGGAGCGCGCTAATCACTACACTACCGCTCCCCAAACACACACACACATATATGCACATATAATACATGTGTATTTCTATACAATCACGCGTGCAAGCTTTCTATGTTCAAATAGCACAGATTCAACCGCGATGACTTTAAACAGACTGGAGCAGTGAGTGCTGTTCGTGAGCACCTATTTAATATTTTGTTGCATACTGCACATTTGTACGCACACTGCATCTATGTGTATATATAATACACGTACGTACTATTGCCTATATATGTGTATGCACATTCACACGCTACGTGGCTGTCGATATATATTAGTATTTGTTTACAAGTGTGGTTACTACACTCCAGTCGACCAACTTTATCTTGACTCCTACTCGTTACGAATCCCAATAGAATGCCAATCGGTTAAATAAAGGACATTTATTGCAAAGGTCGTATATATATACAGGTATATATGCCAGAATATAGAAACCTATGTATACAAATATATATATAAATGGGTAGAAATAAAATAACAGCAAAAAAGTAATTACCACGATGACATAATACACAGCGAAACAAGATACATAATATATGCAGCTCATCATCTCTACAGGGTCGCTAAAATAATTACCATATTTTTTCCGCGGGGGTGGGAGGGGGGGGAGAGAAAATGCAGTGGTCACATCGAGGTCATGTCCGACGCGCCTCCCCAACTGCTCGCTCAAGCCTCGACTCGGGCCGTGTTGATTGCTTGTAGCGCGATCCATTTAAAGACACCCCACCAAACGAACGGCTGTTACATTGTACGGGGACAACAACGCGCTGCGTGTGTGTGCGCGTATCTTGCAATCAACGCCTTCCACGCGCGCGTTGACCCACGCCGATCTTCGCGGACGGAGTCCAGCGACGCAGCGCTCGTCTCTCCGGTAGAGTCTATGGACCTAAAGCGCCTCCAACTCCAAGTCGGTGGTGGGGGCGGTGGGGTATCTGTGAACGGATCGCGCTGCACAATCGCAACGTGCGCAATTCGACGCACGACCAAGCGCCTCGCGCGCGCGCGAGATAGAGAGACGTTTGACTTTGAAACAACTGTTATTGCCGCCAGCAGCAACAGCACTGGAGGCGATTCCAGGTATGAAATACACAAAGTCACCAGCAAACTAATAATCGCTATAAATTCACGCGCTGTGGCGCTAAATGCAGCGCGCACAACACGAAAGGAAAGTCACGTGGTGGTGGTGGCGGTGGTGGTCATCGCGCACGCCACGGTGACGAGCGGCGCCTTTGAAGGTGAACCGAGAGAAAGAGCGAGAGGTGGTGATGTTGTAGAAGATCCACACGCGACGGCATTTAGACCTTCTACAACAACTCCATGGTCTCGTGGTGGAAGGCGGATTTCAGCGTGAATAACGAGATAACAACAACAGCAGCAGCAGCGAGACAAATAGGCAGCAGCAATTGTACACGCCCGAAAGTAAGTTCGTCCCAACGTACGGGGAGACGGAGCGATTCTTGGTGAGAGATCTTGACGGCTTGGGGGGAGGCCTTCATCCAGCAGTGGAATTATCGTGGCCGATGATGATGATGATAATTGTCGTAGGGTCACACATCCATGAATTTATTTTATTTCGCCAGTTAACAAACACGGATGAATGCTGTTACAACTGACCACATATATGCCATGTGCAGTTATTCGATACGGGTGTTTACATGAGGGTTGTATAAAAAGTAACCTTTATACTTAAGTTGTGGTAAAATGTAAAATTTGTATTTTTTTATAGGACAAACATGAGGATAATGCATGAACCATTTCCGAGTGCAAAATACACA